CATTAATCTACCTCAGGAGAGGACGCTCACACCATCTCTCCTCCGTCCCACAGAGCACAGATATTTGTGAATGAATCCCATTGTGAGAGGAGGCTGTCTCTGTGAACCCACACAGAGGAAGAAGGCAAAGACTCCTGTACATTGTCACCATGAGAGCCATCAGCAGAGAACCATAATGGACTTTGAAGTGAATCCTTTTTATAGACATTGCTCAGATCAGAGCAGAAGAAGCTGAAATTCCAGGGTAACCCCATCCAGCACCCTGACTTGTAGGGATAAATCTTCTTTTTTGTTGTTTATTGAGAGTGGGTTTCTCTCTGTGGCTTTGAAGCCTATCCTGGTAATCGCCCTAGAGACCAGGCTGGTCTTAAACACAGAGATCCTCCTGCCTCTGTCTCCCGAGTGCTTGGATTAAAGTTGTGTGCCTCCAACGCCCAGCTGGGATAAATCTTCTTTAAGGAGGTGTTGTCTAGAGACTGCAGCCCTCTGAAATTAAAGTCCCCCAGACATCATACCACTCCTAACCAATGTTCTAGAGACTGCACCCTCTGAAATTAAAGTCCTCAGGACATCATACCACTTCTAACCAATGTTAGAAGAGAAGGCATGCAACTGACTGGTGCCAGCTGCTTCTCTCCGGTAATGTTAAGCACAACTGATTAACAATCCTGAAGTTAGAAAAAAATCTTAAGGAATAGCCTGGCTATTCGAAAAACAAGCCCACACTGACACACTCTGTCACTCCTTTCCTCACTCAGAAGGACCACACACTCCTCTGCTCAGCCTTTTCTCTCTTAGTCATGCCCATCCCCAGTGAAAAACTCTCAGACTAAAATGTTCCTCTAAGATTGTAAATTAAAAACTGCAAGTTCATGAAGCTAAAAATTTCCGTTTTGTTTTGTTTGGAGTGAGGGACAAACGTTAAGATAAGAAAATTGATTTTTGTCATCACTTGATACAAATCACAGTCCTGGATCATCAGGGGTCTGGGTTGAGAACAAGGTCCTTTCTATAGAACAGCTGAGCACTAGGGCCCTGACATCATGCAAGGGAAACATTAAATGAAATTTCCCCCAATGCTTTGCCCTTATCACAGCTGATATCAAAGTGGGATCATTTCATTTAATGTGCCTCTACCTGTAGTTATGAAATTAATGTAATATTTTATATACCTTCAAATTCTAAGAAGTGTGATGATGCCAATCCAAACATCCATGCTTACTTTTATCTGGATTTATCTGGACATCCTACCTCATTCTTGGGAACACAGAGAAGCAGAGGTGGCCTAAAATCTTATCTGACTGAGGGAGTGCTTTGGTTTACCAAGGACGGAAGTCACAGAGTGTCTCAGGAGCCAAAGACACTTACTTGAAAACCTCTGTCATGTGCCTCTCAAGGGATATAAACTAGACCATCCCCATGGTTCCTTGAGAAATGTGATGGCTCTAGCAATAACAAGATAATAAGTTTCAAATGTACAGTGACTTAGCATGCCATAATTCTCTGTAGTCATTCTATAGTCGCAGTGGGTAGTAAATGACCTGGACCCAACTGTTAGCAGGGAAGACCCTGATCTTGTCTCATGAGGCCTGGGACAAGCACTGTTTATGTACAAACTGTACATTGCCTTAGATTCTGAGGCTCTCAGAATCCAGAGACAAGATATTTCTCCTGTAAGTGGTAAGTACCCGGGAGTGTGACAGTTCTTTGGGGTGATTCTGTTGACCATATTTTAAGAACCTCCATTCTGCTCCTATTAAAATCTGGACTAATTCACATTCCAACAAGCAATGCACGAGGTTCCCATGTCATCCAAGTCCTTGACAACCCTTCTTTCCATTAGTCCTTTGGGTGATAACCACATAAAATTTGAGATGACTTCCATCTTATTAGGGTTTCTATTGCTGTGAGGAGACACCATGATGATGGTAACACTTATAAAGGAAAATCATTTAACTGCAGGTGCTTAGCAGAGCACTTGGGATTCAGGCACTTCTCATGATCCCACTACAGAGAGGGATTTTTCACTCTGAGGAAGCTGCTACACTCGTAGATGGAGCAGACTTGGGAAGTTTTATGTCCTTCAATGATAAGGCCCACACAGTACATCTAACATTAACTAAATGAGCAATAGAAAGCAATGTTACTGCTATTTATTAACTATGGCATGGAAAGCTGAGTTGAAATGAAGATCAGAACATGTCTTCTGTTTGCAAAGATTAATTAGAAAGTAGATGTCAACTGGAAATGAGTAAATGTATGCCAATTTTCCATCATTAACATTATAAACCCAACAAACTAACAATCTAGGATCTGCCATCTCCAGGCTCCACTGCAGAGCTTGCTAAAAAGCAGGAAGACATGCAAATGGGCCCTCTCTCTGCTCCTGGAAAGCAGCCCCGTCCTCACTTAGCAGCTCAAGCAGAGGAGCTCAGCTGTGGATGCCAAGACTTCACTCAGGGATCAGCATGGAGTTGGGGCTGAGCTGCATTTTCCTTGTTGCTCTTTTAAAAGGTAATTTATGGAGAGCAGTAGATGCTGACTGTGTGAGTGGACACTAATATGAGGGACACTGGACATGTGTGATGATTTCTTGACCAGGATTTTTTATGTTTTCAGGTGTCCAGTGTGAAGCGCAGCTGGTGGAGTCTGGGGGTGGCTTGGTGAAGCCTGGGGGGTCCCTGAAACTCTCCTGTGTAGCCTCTGGATTCCCCTTCAGTATCGACGAGATGCACTGGGTCCACCAGGCTCCAGGGAAGGGGCTGGAATGGGTTGGAAATATTAATTATGATGGCAGTACCACAAAATATGCACCATCTGTGAAGGGCCGGTTCACCATCTCCAGAGACAATGCCAAGAACACTCTGTACCTGCAAATGAACAGTGTGAAGTCTGAGGACACCGCCACTTATTACTGTGCTAGAGACACAGTGAGTGATCTCAGTGTAAACCCAGAGATAAACCTCACTGTGAGGCCGCTCACGGCCACCAGGGGGCGCACAGCACACACTGAACACAGGTTCCTCCCAGGAGATTATGCAGACAGGGTTAGAGGAAGCACCATTGTCAGGTTCTGGCCTGCACTTTTTCCTGTTGTTTCCTGTAAATTCTCTCTACACATATGCTCTGAAGGGATACAGTGTCCTCAAAACATTACATGTTCTCTTTGTACTATTTTAAAAATATGAAGCACAGTCCCGTATGAACTAGATTCATGTGAGGACATGAAAGACCCTGAGATAGTCACGTAATGGCATCATCAGGAGTTTGTAGAAACTCCTGAGACTTTTCATATTCTCAGCAGAGCCTTGGTCAGATTTCTTGAATATAGCACTCATAAGATGTATGTTTGAGGGAAAACCAAGGGATAGGTGGGGGCAAGATCATTACCATCAGCCCTAGCATGTCTGGCACCTTCCCTTGTCTCCTCTAATCGAGGACGGTGGGCTTCAGTTCAGGTGTGACCCAGCTGTGCTTTTAAGTAATTCATTTTATTGATGCATGACTTTCATCTCTATTCATCATGGAAATTTGTTTAAACTGATCCCTTCAGTTGATGAAAGTTGTGAATGAGTGTGGGTTACTATAGTTCCAACACTGGGGACAGGCAGTTTTGGAAGGAAGCTTATGGAGAGGCTATTTGTGCTTAATTGATGAACTTTATGTTTGGTTAGGAAACCTGTATTAAAGACGGGTTATAGGGTGGGAGGTGGAAGATGCCCAAGGACTAACTCTTGCCTCTATTATGTGTGTATACACACAAGCACACTCATCATTGTACACAACTGTACACAACCACAGGACTTTAAAACAGCAGAGAGAGAGAGAGAGAGAGAGAGAGAGAGAGAGAGAGAGAGAGAGATGAGAGAGAGAGAATGAGAAAAGGGAATACTATATGGATTGAGAGATAGTTTCAAGATCCCAAACAAAAAAGTTAGCGTTTGGTCCATTGATTTGGCTCTTTGTAATGTTCCACAAAATACAAAAGTTTGGGGTTCCTACAAGAACTTTTACACAGGTAGTCATAGCCTTATAATGTATGGAACCCTACACCTGAAACAATCAACTGTTGAATGACTGAACATGTGTGTCATTTCCTTAAAATGTCATGTTGTCTCTCAACATGTAGCGTGCATGTAGTGATTTCTCTGCCACATTGCGGATGAATCCGCAGGAGATTGAAAGTGAAAAGGAGCACAGACTATTATCTCATACAGCACATTTCCATTTCAGTGAGAATCAAGGCCAGATGACTCCATTGAGATGGTCTGGCAAATGAAGAGGGGGACCTGGGAACCTGGGTGTGAATTAGGGATTCATGGATTCCTTTGAGTCTGCAGTTATTTTAGGAATCAGAGACCTGAGGTAACCCCAGCAGTGTTAACCCTGTGTTTGCCAGGTTTCTGCTCACAGAAATGGTTTCTCATGTGAATTTCACACAAATCGTGAGGATGATCAACAAAAAGAATTAAATGACAAACAATGATTTGAACTGAAATTAATAACCCTATGAATGATACAGTACATGGTACACTCCCATGAAGAAAGCATAGTTGTTATTATGAGTGAGGCACAGAGATGATGACATGATGAGATAGAAACAGGTAAGACATCAGAGACAATAATATCCTGTCCCCTGTCCTGTTGAGATGTGGAGAGAAACATCTAAGAAGAAGACTCAAAGTTATGTCACTTTGTGTGACACATATGTGTACACTCGTGGCAGAAATTAGGCCACATCACAACAGAAAACAAATCATCTATCAAAGGCGAGGTTAATATCCTCCAATGGCTACATCTAAATGCTGTTGGTAGACAAATGGTTTCACTTGATACAAGAAGTCACCGATGTTTATGAGATCCACATTAAATAACAGAAGTAAACAAAAATGATTTTAAAGCATAATCTGAAATTATCAGAAAATCATGTAATTCTGAAGTCTCACATTCCCCAAGTCCAAACCCTGGAGTGGCTCTGAGGCAGGACATTGTTCTGTTTACAGGGAGCCATGATGCTCTGGCCATCAGGGTGGGACGAGCATGCTGCAGGGGGCCAGTGTTCCATCAGGGGGCGCCAAATCTCCATGGCTTCAATTAGATCCTTGAGCAAGTGCACAGAAGGCCACAGAGCACTTCCTGTGAGCCCTGGCTTCCTCTGCCAGCCCAGTGTGCAGAAGAAACTGGAAGACCTTGAAGCTGGCAGTTGGTGACTTCCTTTGACAAATAGCATTTGTGTTTCCAGAGCATGGACTGCTCGGTATAAACGTCTGGTTTATGCGCACAGCACTCTGGTCCACATTTCCTGTTCCCCTTCCATTGTTTATGTTTTGTACCATCTTATAATTGCCTGTCCTTAGTCCATAGTATCAGCCCAGACCACCATCCACATTCAAACAACACTGTTTATTTTGAAACCAGATGTGAGACATCCCTACTGTCTCTCCCCACTCAATGCCTGTTCAAAGCTCTGCTTCTGATGGCTCCAGGCCCCTTATGTTTCTATCAGTCAATGTACTGTTGATCTTTGTATCTCATCACAATTACCAAATGTGGGAGGTAGGTAGAGTCAGATTTCTGTAATGTCAAGCAATCTTGTTACATTAAGATGACAGAGAGCAGAAATGATATTAAATTGAGCAAGGGATTGCCATGAGATTTCAGTTTATCCCAAACACATGTTCTCTGCTGCAATTTCTTCATATTTTTGTCTGTTACAACACTCCAAGAAATGAATACCTATTTTATATTTTAGTGTGAGTGAGATTTTTCACATATGTTGATTTATTATTAAACTATTCTATTTTCAAATACTTACAGTTCTAATTATGTGTGCCTGTCTTTGTGTGGGTACATGAACAAAATTGTAGGTGCCCAAGGAGGCCGATGAAGTTGACTCCCCATGGATCAATAATTATAGTTGTTTGTGAGCTACTTGATGAGCTACCTAGCAGTTGAACTCATGTAATTTGGATATCAGTACATTTTTAAAACCACTGATCCATCTCTTCAAACCTCTATACTGTTCTTTATTGTAAGTCAGACTCACCATTTTAATTATAATAATGTTTAAGATTTGTATTAATATATCATTTCCTCTAAACCTCCCCATGGAACCCCTTGCATATTTTCAAATTTATGGCATTTGTTCCATGACATGTGTAAAGGGAGAGCACAGACTTTACAGTTCTAAATGGAAATGTACCTTATTTCTGTCTGCTTCACAAAGAATGTTTAGACCTGATATGGGATTGCAGAAGACCCTAAGAGTTCAAACAGCACACAAGCAGAAGCAATTTACAATAAAGGACTGATGCAGAGGTCTCAGTGCGCAGAGGGGAGTCTACACTCCTAAGGACAAAATTCCTGAGGCTGTGTACACAATAGGACAGATTCATGATGAAGAGAAGGCATGGGTCACCAGTGCCCTGTTACATGTGTACAGGTGCATATGTCCCTGTGTAGACCAGGCTCAAATAGAGGCCTGGGGGAATACACAACCAGTATGAAAACGTAAACACCAGACACTGAAAGACATGGTTTTACCCAACTGAAGTCTTGGATCCTTGTATATCAGATTTACATTCACTTTTGTTCACTACCTGTTCATATGCAAATGAACCTCATGCAAAGACTTTGTAGTAGAAATCTGAGGCTCATCTTCATCACCCAGCAAGGGAGAGCCTGATCAGTCTCAGGAAACTACAGATCCCAAACTCATACAGCATGGAGTGGATGTGGAGGCTCCTTTTCCTGCTGGCAGCTGCACAAAGTAAGACATCGCAGCTCAGAGCTGTAGGGTAAACTGAGGCAGCTCCATGACCTCTCACTTCCCCATGTTCTCCACAGGTGTCCAAACACAGGTCCAGCTGGTGCAGTCAGGAGCTGAGCTGAAGCAGCCTGGACAGTCAGTGAAGATCTCCTGCAAGGCTTCAGGGTACACCTTCACACAATATGCAATGCACTGGGTGAAGCAGTCACCAGGACAGGACATAAAGTGGATGGGCTGGGTCAACACCTACACAGGGAAGACAACATATGCTGATGACTTCACAGGACAGATTCTTTTCTCTTTGGACAACTCTGTCAGCACCACATATCTGCAGATCAGCAGCCTCAAGAATGAAGACACAGCCATGTATTACTGTGCGAGAGACACTGTGTGAAAACCACATCCTGAGGGTGTCAGAAAAGCTCAAGGAAGTGGTTCTTCTGTGCCCAGACAGCAACAGAGGAAATATCTGCCCTCCTCTACGAGTAGGATTATGATATTTGTGATTAGACACACAGGAAATTGATTTCTGTTCTTTGGTTGAATTGTTGTCACAGCTCTGGGTTGACAATCGAGCCGCATGCATAGGAAAGAGGACATTGTTTAGCATCATTAACTTGGTATAAAAACCTACAGTTAGCCAGGCATTGGTGGTGCTCCCAGCACTCCTAGGCAGAGACAAGCAGGTCTCTGTGAGTTCGAGGCCAGCCTGGTCTACAGAGAGTGCCAGGATAAGCTCCAAAGCTACACAGAGAATCCCTGTCTCAACAAAGCAAAACAAAACAAAACAAAAATCCTACAGTTATTATAACACAGCTCATATAAATGCAGTAATTTTTTAACAAGTAATAATGAAATCACATATTGGAAACAGTATCGTCAGCTCTGTCATGCTGTCATAGAGAAGAACACGCCAGTGATTTACATGCTTACAAATGAGAGTGCAAAGAAGGAGAAGACAGCCGTGCTGGGAAGTGCTAGCACACAGAGCATTCATTGTTAACACTGAATATCCACAGACAACTGTGCTTGTATTAGGTCTACTTAGGAGCCTCACAGTGAATGTGAGTATTTGAAGGTAAAGCACACACATATATCAAGAAATGAATATTTACAGATATTACATAGCTCAAAGCTATGGTACTGTGCAAGATAAAAACGCACAGTAATGAGAAAATGGAGTTGTATTCAACCTCCGGATTTATGAAGCCTAGGCTGACTCCCCAAGGGAAAATGTGTCTTCTAGCTCTAAGTTAATTCCCCTCCTGAGCTGTGCGATCTCACAGCTCTCTCACAGGAGGCTGACTCTGAGAAAAGGGGGTGTAGCCTAGAAGATGACAATGTTGGGTCTTCTGTACCTGGTGACAGCCCTTCCTGGTGAGTGTGACCATTTCATACATGTGTCCATGAGGGGATGTGACAACATGTGATTGACAGAACTGACTCTTCCTGTCTGCAGGTGTCCTGTGCCAGATCCAGCTTCAGGAGTCAGGACCTGGCCAGGTGAAGCCCTCACAGTCGCTGTCCCTCACTTGCTCTGTCACTCGTTACTCCATCACAGGGGGTTATGACTGGAACTGGATCAGGTAGTTTTCAGGAAAGAATCTGGAGTGGATGGGGTACATATGTAGTGTTGGCACCAACCACAACCCATCCCTCAAGGGCCACATCTCTATCACCAGAGACACAGCCAAGAACCAGTTCTTCCTTCACCCGAACTGTGACCACTGAGGACACAGCCACATATTACTGTTCAAGAGACACATTGAGGGACATCAGCATGAGCCCAGACACAAACCCCCTTGCAGATAAGCTCTGGGCCAGCAGGAGGTGCTCATCCCTCACGAAGTCCAGGAACTCTAAGTCTTTAGAGGTGGAAAGAAAAACACCTGGTTTCCTGTAACTTTGCTTCCTACTCCCTAATCCCAGAGAAGACAGGGTTTTTTTCTCTCTTTGAGGATGAAATGTTATCTTTATTTAATATCATATTTTTTCCTTCTCACTGTCTCACTGGAGACAGAGTGCATAGTACTATTTCTTGACTTTTTGGTTTTGTTGCTAGCACATAAGAACTGAGCGTTCTCTCCTGTCTTAGGAATATATTTTTTATAAAATCATCTTTTTGAAAGTTAGCTGGCCTTGGCATTGGAGTACTTGTCCCATTACATATTAATTCTGTGTTTCATTCGTCATTCCTTCCACTCTCAGATACAAGTGCACATCACAGCACTTCCTAGATTATTAACATGAAACAGTTGCTGCTATGCCTAAGAAATGTGCCACAGACTAAAATGTGATCAACCCATCCCTGCACTTATATCACCCATCCTGTAATGTAGGGCAGGGATTTCCTGAGGTTAGATGTCCATGACAGAGACACAAAGACTCTTGTGAAGGTCTTACCCCTACTGAAAGTTGGGATAATTCATTCAAAAGTTACAAATTTTGCATTGTGATTAAAATATCACATTAAACAAATTCTCATGCATTTACTCTCACAATTATTATTTTGTAAATGTGTCATAGAAGAATCTGGGACCATATATAAACTACTAGAACAGAGTTAGTATTTGGGACTTCAACTCCAGCATCAGTGTCATTGAAAATAAATCCACTAGACATGTTTTCATATATCTGAAACATTTGCCATGCCTTACTGTGCCAGAGACATGGGAGGACACTTCAGTGTGAACTCAGATACAACCACCCTTCAGAGGAGCTTGAGGAAAGCATAGCCCTTTAGGAACTGCTGAGCCCACTCAAAACACCTGGATGTCCTCATGTCATATGAGTGTGCCCGTGAGTTTCCAGACAGACATGCCTATTTCAACTTCAACTTAGAATATGTGGTTTCACATGCTGAGTAATAAAAATCCCATGGAACCTTTGCTACAACTTATTTGTGACAATTAATAATTGCTTATTTTGTAATAAGCATATCATTATGACCCCATGGAGCAACTAAGATACCCATCTGCCACTTGCTGTTAGGTCAAATTCACATAAAATAAAACTCTCCATGTATTTCCTCTTAGGTCTCTAACTTTCAGACTTGGTGATGATAAGTTCAGGAAATCACAGGGAAATTTAAATAATCTAAAGATCTCTGTATTTATTTCCTATCATGAGGCATGGAATGGAGAGCTTCCATGAGTGAATTCTATTACCACAGGTAGACGGGAAATAGGATGTGCACTTTTTCCAGCTTCCCATGTGGTAGTGCTCTAATGGAGTACAGATAATTCACATTTTTACACAATGCACGCTGGAAATTTATATCCTTGTATGGATTAATTTAAACCCAAGTCCCATGTAATGACTCCTTTGCAGGTGTTTCTTGTTCCCCATCTTGTGGAAAGTCTAAGTGACACTGGGCACCAGCCAGGTGATGTCATCTCAGGTCTCTGTTCTATCTTCCTTCCATTGGCAACACAGTTCCTT